TTTTAAAGAGCAAAAGCAGCGCTCGCACGCGTCGTAACTAATGAAGAACACTCGAATGAGTTTTGATTGGCTCAGAGTTGAGTGGCTCAAGATGTACCGTAGACCATATTGTTTTCCAAATGATTTGTAAAAGTGTTGTTTCACGATTGAATGTTGCTTTATATTTAAACAGTTTTGTTCTTCATTAATATTCATATTTTCGATTATCCGGACCCTCGATTATCCGGACTATATAGTCTACTCCCAACGAGTCCGGATAATCGAGGTTCGACTGTACGATCTGTCTTACTTACTGCTGACGCTAAGTAGCTATGTACATTATAAAGTCACTTGTTTTATGTACTCTATAGATCTTGTTTAAGTTATGATTAGTCTCTAGTTGATCGTGTAATCATGATATATACAAACGATACGCTTTACAATCTGCCGCTTTTAAAGAGTAAATTTAACAAAAAGTGGCTATTTTGAAAGGGTTTTGGGTGGTCGCAAATGAACGATGCCGTTCAAACTACGCCGGAGGAATTTGAACACGAAGATTTCACTCTAAAAACACACCAAATGTTTTCCGTCCACACTACGCCGAAAGAATGTAAAAACGCACCTGTCACCGGTTGTTTTGGATTTGTGCCTGAGAAAAACGCGGTCAGGGAAATCACATGGTTATCGTGGCCGAGAACACCATCGTTTTCGAAAAGCTCCGTTTTCGTGACAGATTAAAGTGGACGGTAGGCCTAACCGTATAAATAAAGCTGCCTTTTCAAATTTCTCCGGCGTAGTGTGGACAGAACCTGAGCGAGCAAAGAAGAGAGTGATATGAGTCTCGCATAATAGGATCTCCAGTGCGTTCTCGATTCACATGCGGATGAAACCATGGTTACGAAAGCACTAAAGGCTTTCACTCGCGCATAAGCATAAGAATCATACACAGAGGCAGTAAGGTCTTGATAATTAGCGCCTTTGTTGTGAAACTTTTGTGGCGCTACAACCCCGCTCCTCGAGTCTTCGTTGCTCACTGCGAAAGCTTGACAAAACGAACGACTCTCGAGATATCCGTTACAGGCTCGATTTTGTTTGGTTTTAAAAACAGTAGAAATGAGCGGAAGTAAAACTCCACCAACTTGATTGAGCCACGTGTTTGTCAACTAGGCCTGCGCAAAGCGAGTCTTGATACTCATCCTGTCATATGAGAATGAGATTTCAGTCACACGCAAATTAAACTCATTTTCATATAAATGGTTGTGCACCAGACCTCACTTTGATACAGAGGTTGAAGGTAACTCGGACATGGGCTATTCAACCGGAAGTCTGACATTTTCGAAATCCCAAACATAACTTACCAAGGTTTTTTTGTTTCGCGACCGCTGGTCAAGGGGAACGGGATTGATGGTCCTATTTAACAACACCTCACTGTGTCTACGCTAGTGGCTTATGTCCATGCTTTTGTCGAAGTGAAAACCAGCCCTAACATTCAGACGTGAAAGTAGCGATTTCCCTTGGCCGGTTAGCGGATGTGAGTGGTCAAGCCTTGAGTTCACGTTGATACAGCTGGCCTCAGCGCATCTTCCAAAGTCGGCCTCTGAAGGACACTTCAATTTTCTAAGAAGTCAAAGGGGACCGTACTCATACCCATCGGTACTGCAACCGGAAAAACGAAAGAAAATAAAATAAACGACGAAAATAAAAATCTGCTGAAACAG